AAATATGAGAGATGCCCTCTCAAAAATAAAAAATAAAAAAAAAATAAAAAATAAAAAAATAAAATAAAATAAAATGCCTATATAAATATTCAAAAAAAAATCATAACTAATGTATAATCTATTATCTTGCTGGAATTTTGACAGGAATTGTGTTAAACCTGTATCAATTTGGGGAGGACACATTTACAATGATGAGTCTCCCCATTAATGGGCATGGTGTCTCTCCCCTTACTTTGTTCTTTTGTGGCTTTTTTAATTATTTTGTAGTTTTCAGCCCATGAATCCTGTACATATTTTGTTAGATTTAGACTTTCATGTCCATTCATACTGCTCTATGTAATTTTTTTAATGGTTGCACAGTAAGGGTTATAAGAATTAAAGAAGTTTTGCTAAGTATTTCATCTTTGGGTCACTTTGGGTAGCTAGCGTAAGTAAAAACTTAAGGCAGAGCCCACTGCATTGCCTCTACACTCTCCCTGATGCCAGCACGCTGTTAAGATCAGCTACTGCTGATTCTCTGGAGATGGATCAGTATCATCTCTGATTTAAGCCAGGATGCCCTAAACTTAGCTAATCAGAATCACCTATGGCATGTTATACTTAAAAATACAAAGTACATGGCCCCCATCTCAGGCCTCCTGAGCCAGACATATCGACTGGTGGCATCTGTAAATAAATATTTAAACAAATTCCTGAGGCAATTCAGATGACAGGCCAGCTTTGGGGGTTACCTACCAGGTTTTCTATTAGAATCACATTCTCTTGGTTATTTTTCATGTCTGAGTCCTACACTCTATAGTCAGCTTGGCACATCTGCTGATTCATAAACACGCATTACCATTTCTGGGCCTCACTCACCCTGATTTCCTAATCTGCATTGCCTCACTCTTCCTATGCATTATCTTTGCCTTTGCGAATTCAGTGCATTACTCAAACCCCAGCCCAAACGCTACTTCCTCAGAACCTTTTCACTGGAATTAGTTTCTTCCTGCTCAGAATACATGTATTTTTAAATGGCATTTAAAATACATAGTTGTTTTTATTTCCCCTAATAGAAGGGCTGGGTTAGATCTTACTCATTTTTTATTTCCCAATTTATTCAGTGCTTACTGTATGCTAAGTATTTATGTGCTCCAACTTATTTTAGTAGCATGTTTGCTTAATGAGATAACTAGAAATGTCTTCAAAATTAAGAAACCAATAGCATAATAGTATTTTAGGAACCATTCTTGCTATACTTATCTTCTTAATGCAATATTTAAAAAACATTACATTTTATGATAAATTACATACCTGGCTTAAAAACAATCTATTTTCCATTCTGTTTATAATTTTAAGATATCAAAATACTTAATAATCACAGGAAAGAAGTAGAAGTAGGATTTAATTTCATACTACAGAATAGTCAATCCTAGAATTTATAAGAACACAAAATTTAATTTTTATGTAATTTTATTAATAAACAGCTGAAATAATACATTCAAGTTTTAGTGCCACTGTAATATTCTGAAAAATACAAAATTCAAATGTTGAAATTTTACACTTTTCCCCATGATAATGCAAAGGAAAAAAAACCCAGTTATAAATATGTATATTTTACAAAAAACACTGTCTTTCATGGAAATTAGTGAAATTACAAAGAGTGGATGAATTATGATTGAATTTCATATCCTAATGGATCAAGTCCCTGGTCGAGGAGCATTAGAGAGGATTCTCTTAACTTCTGTAGCAATTTCCTTAGTTCTTCCTTAGAAAATACCTGATTTTTTTAAAAAGAGAAAAGTTAACAATGATAAGAAGAATATGAACTTAGTCACATAGTCAACCTGAGTAGTTTAATACAGGAAGAAATTCTGTTAGCATTTATGTAGCCAAAGGCCAGGATATTGGCATGGTCCAGGAACTTCAACACTGTTTCTCTAAGCCAGTCTATATACTTCCAACTGCTTAGGAATATATGCATATTTGGAAATAAAAGAACAAACACTAGAACTGGACTGTTACTTTTAAGAAAATCTAAAAATACCTAAAAAATGGAAACACATCTCACAAAATTAAATATTACTACAGAGTTTATCAAATCACTAAAATTTAAAATTGCAAATGCACTAGAACTTACCAAATACAGTTTGTGGCGCTCAGAGGATACCATATCTGCTAACTGCAGGCATTCTTGATACTGACCGGTACTATGCAATATGGTGTGAAGCAGAAAACACAACATTGGCAGACAAAGCTTTCTCAGCAAAACCATCTGATGTGTTCTTTCATGGTCTTCTTCAGCATCATCCTATAGACAGTCATTTTAACAACTTTAAGCTAAATACTGTTATAAAAAAGTCAAATGCTGAATCAAAATCAAAAGACAACAGGTAGGAGCTAAAGGAGTTCTTTAAAGCTTATTGTGCCTATTAAAAATAAAACAAGGCAGGGTTTCAATCAGTGTCTACAGACAAGATTGTTTTGGTAAATAAGCAAGATAATGAACAAAACAGGGAGTGGTGAATATAGTAGGATATGGAGTACAACAGAAGGAAAGATATCAAGTACACTCAAATGGTTTTCTTGTTCAAAATATACCAAAATACCCAAGAATCCAGTGTTTCCTATTCTTCTTGGATAGATCAGGTCTACAGAGGCAAAATGGAGTTACAATGTTTGTATCATGCCCAGCTTCAGGCCTCCATCTTTCTCCCTCACATGATTATTTCCTGCAGTATGCTTCCTTTTCTCCCATCATTCAAGACTCAGTCAAATGTTACACCTTTCAAGCATCCTGTCCAGACCTCTCCCAGGTAGAAGGGACCTTTTCTTTTCCTGAACTCACAAATACTTAGTCTCTGCTTTTCTTATGCATTTTGTAACTAGTTATACTTTTGTAACTGGTTCTCAACCCAGGTTACACATTAAAGCTCTCCCTGCAATTAAAAAAAAGCCCCACCCTACCTCAGACCAATCAAACCAGAATCTTCAGGGACCTCAATATTTTTAAAAGCTCCCCAGCAACTTAAATGGACAGCTCAGGGGTGACAGCCACTGCAACTACACTATCTTCAGATCCCTGCACTAAATGAAAACATGTATAATTTCTTAGGTCCATATTTTTAAAAAAATTAGATTTTAGTATCCTGAGTCAACATATTAAATCTGAACAAGTAGTTTGCTCAAGAGACAAATATTCTTACCTCCGGCTAGTATTTTCAATTTAGGCTTAAATTATGGGATGTTCAGTTATAAGCACAAAGGTAACATATAAGACACTCCTATTCAGAGACAAAACTTTTAAAAACAGACAGTTTTTTTTCTGGTGTTTTTTTTGTTTTGTTTTGTTTTTTGCTTTTAGCTATAAACACAGTTTGAGTTATGCACACAGCTTACCTCTCTAACATCCACCATCCACCCTCCATCAACAAATAACAAGACATTATACATTTTCTCCTTCACATCAGCAGTTAGGGCATCTAAATGTCCTTTCCAAATACTGTAATCCATCTGCAAAACAAATATAAAGCAAGCATAAACCAAAAATCCACCTGCAAAACAAATATAAACCAAAACCAATAAGTAATATTATTTGTAAAGTACAGACAGGAATACACATACACATGTGGAACATCACTCAAAAGAGTTGACTTCAGTCAGCCAAATGTAAAATGAAATATCAATAGATTGCCATTATAATAAAACACTAAATGTTAATTCTGTAAATTAACACTAATGTCACCTGAAGGTGACAGGAAGATCAACGATTGTAACAGGAATATAAACTGGCAAAAAATTATCTTCTTAAATATACGACATGTAATTTTAAGATGCAGAAGATATGTCTCATCTATATCAAGTTGTATATATACAACTTACTTCATATTTCTTCTCTTTGTGTTCATGAGCCACTTTCTCAGTAAAAGTTGCTTGAGGTATCAAAGCAGGTTTTTGTGGGGCTGAATTCATATGCTTAAACCACTCATTAAAGGTTTCATGGGCCTCCTAAATCATAAAATAAAACAAAAGGAAATAAGTTTCCCATATATTCAAAAAATCTTTTAAAATTTAGTTCTTAGAAATAATTTTGCAATATAAAGAATTAGAACTGCTTAGTATATTTCACATACATGCAAAAAATCATAAATGCTCTCTCAAGTGCTAAACACCAGTAAGGTCATATATATTGTATTTTCTGGCTCCTACTTCTATCTCAGCACCCTGATCATACACACACACATGCTGACATTTATCACTCTGTGATGTGCACATTTGTCTGTCTTCCTGACAAGCCTATCAGCTTCTAGAGAGCAAGAACAGAATACTACCTACAGATTTAGCCCTAGAATCTAGTCCAGTGTAATCACTTCATTGTTAAGTGAAATTTGAATGAGTCCATTTAGTTCTAACAAAATCTAGAATGTCTTACTTTTCTCAATTACTGCCAAAAGAAGAAATATTTAAGTTGACACAAGTATTCAAGGAATCTTAAGAAAACATTTTTAGATGTTCTTGGTCAGTCAGCACTGATTAGAGGCTCATGCTAATGAAGACCACGTCATGATTTCAACGTCCTTGTGAATCAGTACCACAGTCACAAGTGAGATAAGATAATGAGTCAATCACCACTTCTGGAAAAACAGTTCAAAGTCTGAGAGAGAACCAGCAAAGTCATCATGAAGACAGGCACATCTGTAGTTTCTTTACAATCTCACCAAATAAGCTCTAATGCACAAATGTTCTCTGATGGCATTATCATCTTCCGCAGGAAGTGGACTTTCCATTCCTTGTTCCTCCCACTGATTGTAGATTTCTGCTATAGAATCCTGAGGAATTTTCACAAATACTTCTTTTGCAGCTTCATGCTTTTTTGATGCTGTGAAAAAGATATACAGTTTTTCCACATACATGAATTCCTGTGTCATGGTTTCTAAAGGAGTGAGATAACTGGTTTGCAGCTTTTACATATGGGTAACCATTTTGGTCCCAAGGTTAAAGGTCTGGGTGATCTTCCTACCTAATGGCAGGCTTTTTTCTTGTTTCCATGTAACAGTCACAAAAGGAGACATTGAATGCAGTTTGCTTTTACATACTTCTGAGTCTTAAAAAAAAGCAATTACATTTTTTGAAGCCTTGAGATAATAAGCAAAATTGATTAGGTCAAGGAAAATTCATTGTTAAATATGTTCTGTTTCATGGCACCAGGTTTAGTAATATATGAGAGTGAGTGTTTTGTTGGAAGGGTCAGAAAAGCAAACAAAATTTAAGAATATATGGATTTGAACATAAACTTTAAAAATGATGTAAGAAGGCAACATACCCAAGAATTTCCTCATTATTGCATTGCCTTGTTTCAGTGCTTCTGCTCTCTGTGCCGGGTCAAATACCAGCCAGTCAATCACATCAATTTTTAAACGGTCCTCCTATTCATTTAATTGAGAAAAGAAACATCAGTTTTGTTTTTTTCCATGATAATCTGCAAATTAGTATAATTAACTTATACCTGCATTTCTAGTGAACATCATTTTCCCTCAAGTTATACAAACACGTGAAAGAATCTAGCTTTCCTTAGTTTATTTTCACATTTAATAGCTAACAAATTATAGGAAAAGCTTACTGGACTGTGAATCTGGAATTATATATTCTATGTCTTACCAACTTAACCATGTGATTCCTTTAAGTGCAACTCTTACATGTTTTTCTTTGCTAGATAAAACATTCTATTCCTTTCTGAAAATAGGAATAAGTAAACTACAGAAGAGTTGGTGATTGATCACATATCAAGAAAAGATGAGCAAAAACCCAACATTCAATGCTCACATTTTTATCCCACTAAAGAACCTTCCTTTAATATACTACTACTGTAAGTTCTCCCTTACACAAGACCTTAAGTTTGCTGTCAATTTTTATTATTTAAGAGGTTTTAGCTGAAATACAAAAATTCTTAAAAAAAAAAAAAAGCAGCCAGAGTATTGTAAGGTAGAAGTTCACCAAAGAACATCGTCACAGATTATCACGAATTACACTACACACCACCCCCTCTCCCTCATTTTACCTCAGTAGTGCCAGTATCTAGGGCTGGGGTCAGGTCATGATGACTGAATTCACCATTATCCCTCTTCCGTATATTCTCAACTACAGTCTTTGTTATAGTTGCAATATCCAAATCTAAGGAATTTTGTTTAAAGACAAGAATTAATCATTCACACTGATACCCTCTAAACACCCACAATAATTTGGCAAATTTGGGATAAGTCTTTAAAAATATAACATGTGAGATATGCAGGACATTATAAAACAAAATGCCAAAAATCAAAAGGTATTTTACACATGAGTTACAGTGTTATTTTATTCATAAAGCAGAATTTCATTGAAAATTTCCTTTTTTTTTCTCTCAAGAGAAGTAAGATTTGAAGCTAGAAGGATAAATTTTACTAAAGCCAAAATGATAATTTGCTTACAAAGCCCAAAAGATGAAGTTCTCAACTACCTGCTTCCTTGGCCAGCTCTAGGCAATGATGGCGCTCTTCAAATTCTGTAACACCTTCCAAAAATGATGCATATTGGGCAACGGCTAGGTCTTGAGGCAAATGACAGGTATAAAATGCTATGAGATTTGTATGTTTCTCATTTATTAAGAGCTAAAAGATAGAAAAAGATCAAAGTATGTCAATAATAAAGCAGATTCTTGGATAAGCAGAACTTTTGAAAAGGTTCCTATCAAAATTTCAAATGTATTTAAGAGAGATTCATAGATACAGATTTGTACTGCTGAACAGAATAATTTTAATTAAAAAAAAAAGTACTTATGATAATTAAAAGACCCTTTTTATGGATTCTGATGACTTTCCTGCCAGTAGGCATTAAAATATTATCAATCTGATGTTTTTTCATTAAAATAGTAAAGAAAAAAAAAAGGACTCCTGTTGTGGATTCTCAAAGTTTACCTGTATGTATGTCTTTAAAACTTCAATGGAAACTTCTTCCTTCAGAGGAAAAAAAGATTCAGTTATAAACACAACCACTTATATGTATCAGCAATACATCTAACTCTGTTATTAAACAATTTAATGGTTTTATCATTGAGCAATAAGTACATGGTAGGCCAAGTGGTTAGCAAAGGTCATGTGCTGCCTTATTTAACCTTACCATTGTAACTCTTTGTGGGTAGTTACTATTATTGTTCACGTTTTAGAGGGAAGAATCTAAGGCCTACTGAGGATTTACTTATCCAGAATTACATAGCCAAATGCTGCTGAGTAATAATGTGAACACAGGATTCATACTCCAAGCCCAAGCTTTTAATTACCCCATCATTCTGCCTTCTACATGTATCCTGATCAAAATGTTATCAACCATTTAGGAAAAAACAAAAAGAAAAAGCCCCCTAAGGTTTAAAATCTCATAAAAAATTTAGTCTGGTTCAGTTAGCTTAGCTGGTTGATTCAGACTCAGGTACTGTGGAGGATAAAGTTATGAATTTTTCAAAAACCAGGTAATCACTGGCATTCTGCAGTTGCAGATTAGAATCCTAAAGGGTCACCCATAGTGAGTTATCATGGATTGACAGTGTGTGACCATAGGTAACCCTCACCACCGTTTCTAGAAAACACCACCACAAAGGTAGCCTGTTTCCTGATGATACATAGCATCAGCCTTGCAGAGAAGGGTATCCATTCATTTTTATTTACTTTGGTCTGTAGTCCCAGAGCGCGGAAAAACAAAATGAGGTGAGTCATGAAGCGGAGGAGGTGTCCAGGTAGACTGCTTCTGCTTTTGGAAAGCCATTTGCTGAACTCATCCATCAAGCCTATAAGCCATCAAAGACAGAAATCAAAAATAAGAGAAATAAACATTACCAAGGACATTCCCTGCACTCCTATAGCACTACTATCTCATTGTTAATAAACATCTAAAACAGGTTTTGGATTAAACTCAAACTTTATTTGCTAACAATTAAGTAAATAGTGGCATTCAAATAGACTGATATTTATAAAGTTAGAAAATGGTTGCATCATAGGCATTGTTTTGATAACTTCTTACAAAATGACTGAGAAAACAACTCACACAAAGAAAAATAAAACTGTATCTTACCATCAATGTCTCCCAGGATAAGGAATTTTTGAACTGTATGATAATGTTCTTGATTCTCTTCTAGAACTCTCTGGAAAAATTTTTACATAAATCATGTAGTGGCCATTCTGCACTATATACTGATTGGTAAACTAAAAATCTCAACTTTTGAAGGTACATATATAAGGAAAAAGATAGAAATTAAGGGTCTTAGGAGAACAAAACAAAATATGAGAAAGATATTGCCTTTAGAATATACTCAAGGCTGAACAATATCTTTGAAGGCAGAGAATTGTGATAAAGGAACTTAATCTCTGTGAATGCTATTAAACTGTTATTTTTTATATTTTACTACTATTTTCCTTGGCATCACATGGTGAACCAGAAAGGAAGGGCACATGTGACCTAAGCAAAATAAACTATAAGTTTTCTTTCAACATGAACAGCAGTTCCTGAAACCATTCTTTGGGTGCTCTCTTCTGCACATAGCACTAAGAGTAAAAAAACCATAATAGTGATGAGGCGCAGAGCAGAAAAAAACATTTGCAAGTAATGCACTGTTGGACTTTTTTTTGTCATTTATTTTTTTCAAATATGTTTTAGTTTTCATTTTTTGTTTAGATTTTTTTTCAGCATTTATTTTTTACATTCAAGTCTTTGCTCCATTTGGAAATGATTTTAATATATGGCATGAGGTAGGGATCTAGCCGTGCTTCCTTCCAGATGGAAAGTCAATTACAGCCGTAACATGTACGTAAAAAAACCCATCCCCCCCTTTCCCCTGAAATGAAAGGTCATTTCTGTCATCTATTAGTTCTCATGTATACATTGATCCAATATGAATATTTGTGTTCCACTTATCTACTCCTGTGCCAGTTCCATAGTGTTTTATCTTTATATTATTTTTTTATGAAGACAAGTACCACACAACTATTTTTCTTTTCTAAATTTTCTTGCCATCCTCACTTATTCTTCTACTGAAATATTCTCTTCAGAAAAAAACCCCCCAAAGCGTTAGCTTTCTGTGTTAATTTTGGAATGACTGATATTAACATCATACCCTATCATTCAGGAACGTGCTATATCTATTTGTGTCTTTCATTAAGACTATAGTTTTCTTTATGAAGGTCCTCAAACCCTTGGTTAATTTTATTCCTAGGTATCACCTAGTTTTGGTCAATATTTTAAATGGGACTTTTTTTGGGTTAATTTTCTATTATGTATTTTAACTTTCCCAAAGGAAACAGACAGGAATAAATTAGCTTACATGCATACACATATATTTAGAGAAATGATGTGTCATTTCAATATGCAATAGTGTCTTCTTTTTAAAAAATGTCTCTCATTTGGCTAAGAGGTGAGGAAAAGAGAGAATATGACAAGGTTTCATATATTTTTTGCCTTTAAACAACAGTGCCTTTCAAAACAGAGTGTAACATTTACTGTTTCCCATTCTAATTATCCTAAGTTAATCATATTAATATTTACCTTTTTATCAGTAGCTTGAAGTTCTTCAAAAACCTTTTCTAAGGTCCAGCTTCAAAAAAAGAACAGAAAAGCAATAAAATAATATTAAATAATATGAACAAGGGCTACAAAACAAACTTCACAGAGCATACGACCAATCACCATGATGAAAAACAAACCAACAAACTCACTTTGCTTCCAAATATTCTCTAGGGAGCTCTTCTGTGTCATCCAGATGCACTACTGACGTCCGGATCTCCTGTTCTACCAGACTATCCACCATTACCCGAAAGTAGGCCCACACTGTGTCTTCCCAGGTATCACAGACAGGAAGCAGCTTTTTCCCCATTCCAAAACAAACACATAGACAGTCAACAAAAAAGGAAAAGCAGTTATATCATATCCATCATGATACGGACTGTACAGGGTCACTATGACGCAAAACACTGTAGACCATAAAACACACTGAACAGTCCTTCCCCCCACCAAACCACCTCTTCTAAGAAGCATAAACTGTTAAGACATTTTCCATACTGAGTTTACAACAGCATCAGTTTTACATAAGATGGTGTTTCAACTAATTATTATAACTTCCTTTAAAATAATTGTAAAATGTTAAGGGGTGGTAGGGGTTGTGAGAAGCACAAACACACATGTGGCAAGACAATCTGAACAGTCATGGTGTCTCAGGGTAACTTCTGGATAAATCTATGGATATAATAAGTCATAGATAAATATGTGTTTAGCCAATTAATTTCATTAATTAATGAAATCAAATTTACAATTAGAAATGGAAGTGAGATTTCACACATGAAAACATTTGGTATATGGAATACAGCAAATTAAGCAGCTTAAGTCACTATTCTATTTCATGATTATTTCTATCATTGCTATTCTTAGAAAGCAGCTTACACTTAAGAATTATTATATACAATTATAAAAATATTTACTGTATCTGATTTTGTTCTACAGGAAAAAAGATGAAATAGACTGCATACCTGCTTGAGATTCCCACTTAAAGCTGCATAAATTGCTCTCTCATATTTATTGAAGAGCTCCTGAAATACAATGAATATAAATAAATTTCAAAAATTGCTCTTCTTAGCATCTTCATTTTTTTCATAATCTGGAATTTTGCCATATCTTCTAAACTGAACCTATTTATTCACTTGACAGTTTCTAAACTTTAGTGAAAGATCTAGTGGAATAATAAGGAAGGACCCCTTAATTTGATGATAAAATTGATTCCTCAGGAAAAGTCAAACATCTAAAATTCAAGTACAGAGTTAGAGCAGATCTACCTCTACAGGACGCTTTTATCATTTACCATATTAAGTTTTATTCCAGATAGAACCTGTATAGGTGTTTTCCCAGAGACAGCTTCTAAATCCCTAGTACTACCTGATACTAACCTGAGAACATCAAGACAAGGCTCTTGGAACCCGTCATTCATCAGTAAACAGAATTAATTATATTAATCCTGAGAGGCTCCTAACTAGTCATTTCAATTTTAAGCCTGTTCTCCACTGCCATGCTAATCTTCCTAAAACACTGTTGTCATGTGCCCTTGAGGTTTTTGATGGTTCACCACATCTATGTCAAGTTCTCATACCTTACAGCAGTACAGGGGACTACCACTGCCTGTTCTTAATTTACTTTTTCCAATCATCTTTCCCATCACAGTCAGTTCTGCTACGCTTGTTTTGAAAATGTGAATCTGTTCCAATGAAACTGATACATCAAAGAACAACCTGACATGATGAAAATTTCCCATTTGCTTATGTAGTTTCATCCACAAGAAGCACTAGATGAATGCAGAAAACCACACCTAGATGAACCAAGTCACTAGAAATACACAAAACTGACACACCTCAACCACCTACCAGCAACCTTAGCTCACCAGGTGTGTTATATGCTAAATCCACCCATACTGAGTGCTACAATTTTCTGTTTGATTCCAGATAACCTCCTTTGCCACTTCACAGTAACTCCCAAGCTGACACCCAATTCTACAAACTTCAGTTCTTCTTCACAGTAAAGTATCATCTATTGTAGCTCTTATGTATTTCCTAACCGTTTAACAGTGCTTTATGAAGTTTTCATCTTTTTATGTATCACTGATGGTTTCTGAGTAATGTGCTCTTAAGTCCATTTTCCCCCAAAACCCTGTGGGTTTTTGCACAATTTTGCATGCTAAAGTGGTTTTTAGGAATGTATAGATGATGTCACAACAGAACTGACTCTATTTCCTTTTGTGAGTTTTTTGCTCCATATGGTACATCTATCTTCCCTTGAGTTTTCCAACCTATGTATTCTACCTAGAATTCCTTTCTCTTTTTAGCTTAACAACTCAAATCCTACTAATTTTTAAAAGTTCAATTCAATTATCTCTCCTGTGAAGCCAGCTTTAGCCCAATGCTCATTCTCTGAATTCATGTGGTACCTCCTTTGTATTTTTGCCATGTATCAGTATTAAATTCTTAGTACTTAGTATCTAAATAATTCTGAACAGTAGTTAAACCTATCCACTCCTATTGCTTAATGCAATTGGATAATCTTTGGAAAACAGGAACATTAGTCTTATACTACTCTGAATGTTTCACAGAACCTTTAGCAGGCCTTCAATTAATTAGAGTAAAAATCAATATCAGTAAATATTTCATTATATCTTACATCTTCTGCCATTCTCCAGCAACTTATTTTCCAAATGCATCTGTATGGATTCCCTTCAACAGGTTCTAATTCTGTTCCTATAAAACAGTAAGAAAAATAAAATGTAGTTTAAAATGAAATCTTATTTCAATGACTTCTAAAAACAAAAGCTTATTCGAAAAACAAAAGCTAGGCTTCACAAAGATTGGCATTTAGAGCTAAATATATCCCCAATTCTCAGAATAAAATCTACTAAAATTACCTCCATTAACATTTGGGTTAGGGTCATGATAGAGTTTCCAGCCTTCAAGCGTTGCAGCTCTCCATGCCTGACCACAGCGTTTACAGAGCCGTTGCGCCTTTAGATACAAGAAAGAGCAGTTAGTTATATAACCAGTGTGGTACAAGAAGAATACTTGTGCCTTTAAGAAAATGTAAGCAATGTATGGCAGGATTAAATAACTTATGGCATACATGTTACAAAGGATAATGGAGAAAACAAACGATATTTTACTATACCACCACTTGCATGTCTTTCTGTGGTCTCGTCTCTCTTTTCCTAGTAATTTCTTTGCTTTTTGATTTTGGGCTTACCAACATATTCCCATGGTACCTTGGGCATTTAATCCTGCTATAGACAAACAGGGCTAAAGAGGTTGATAACCCTTGATTTGCATAGTATTCTAAAACACTGTTAATCTCTACAATGACAATATGCAATTGCTCATTCAGATACATGTTTATGGCCCATCACCTCTTTAGGAAACATCTCTTCATATTTAGTTTATACGGTTTGGGTAGATCATATGACCCATCTCTGAAATCTAGGGTTAGGCATGTGATCGAACACAAATCAATCCCAGATTCCTCTTGGAGATATCAAGAAGAAGACACACTCCTTTTGTTGGAATTGGAAGCTGGCAGGAGGATATAATAAGCCTGGAGCTGTTGTTGGCCACCAGTGACATGAGAGGTAGCTTCTTGAGAATGAAACCACAGAGAGAAGGGCAGAGCTTATCTTTTGAGTCCTTGGATCCTACTTAAAGTCAGATATTACCTCTCTACATTCTCTGCTCCAGGAGCCAATCAAGTCCTCCCATAAGTAACCTGAGTTAGGTTTCTGTCAGTTGAACCCAGATTAGCTGATTCATACAACCAGCTAAAGAATATAATAACCCAAACATCACTCTGGGTTATGGCTTCTAAACATCATGAAAGCTATGCAGCAACACAGAAAAATGTTTTGATATGCTATCCAAAAAGACAGGATAAAAACTAAATATAGAACCTTGAAAACATTTTTCTTAGTGAAATAAACCAGACACAAAAGGACAAATATTGTATGATTCCACTTACATGAAATAGCTAGAATAGGAAAATTCATAGCAAGTAGATTAGAGGTTACCAAGAGCTGAGAAGAGGGGGATTGGGGAGTTACTGCATGATGGTTAGTTTGTGTGGGGTGATGGAAAAGTACTGAAAACAGTAGTTTTGGCTTCACAATACTGTGAATGTAACTAATGCCATGGAAAAGTGTATTTAAAACTGGTTAAGATGACAAATTTTGTCATATATACTTTACCACAATTAAAAAAAATTAATAATGGAATATACCAGAACAATTGAATTGTACAGTTTAAATGGGTGAGTTTTATGGTATGTGAATTATATCTCAATAAAGATGTTAAAAAAAAAAGACTGAATGTATACTATAGTAATGATTATGTGAAAAAGAGGTACAAAAGAAAGGGCTTATCAAAAAGATAAGAAATAACATGTGTTGGAGAGAATATAGAGTAAAGGAAACCCTTGTGCATTTCTGGTGGGAATGCAAACTGGTGCAGCCAGTATGCATAGAGGGTCCTCAGAAAACTAAAAACAGAAATACCATATGATCCAGCTATTCCACTTATGGGTATTTATCTGAAGAAAATGAAAATACTAACTCAAAAAGACATGCAACCCCATGTCCAGTGCAACACTGTTAACAGCCATGAGGTGGAAACAACCTAAGTGTCCACTGATGGATAAGTGGATCAAGGGGATGTGGTATATATACACAGGGGAATATTATTCAGCCATACAAAAGAAGGAACTCCTGTCATTTGTTACATGGCTGGACCTCAAAGGTATTATGCTACATGAAATAAATTAGACAGAGAAAGACAAATACCATATGATCTCTCTTGCGTGTGGAATTACACACACATACACCCAAACTCATAAATACAGAGAATAGATTGGTGGTTGCCAGAGGGTGGGGTGGGTCAGTGGGGAAGAAATGGGTGAAGAGGATCAGAAGAAAAAAATTTTGTTCTCTTGTTTTTTTAGGCTCTAATACTGAGATTCTTCATATATAAGATGGTAATATTAATAACAGTAAAAATAATGACAGTTCTCATTTATTGAATATTTACTATGAATCAGACTGTGAGTCAATTCACATGAAATACCTCATATGAACCCTAGAGAGACGTGATAATTATGTCTCCACTGAACAGATGAGAAAAGTGGGCACACAGAATGTGCTTAGCTCACTCACAGACACAGAGAGTCAGCATGACCACAGTGTAACAGAAGAGGTGGAAGAGGCACTGACTGGGGTCAGAGCCTTGATTCCAGCCTTGACTTTCTTACTAGTTTTGTGACCTCAGAGGTCACCCAGCCTCATAGGATTTCAGGGTTTTATTGCTGTTTGCTTGTAAATGGGAATGTTAGAAAACATGGACTTTATTTAAGCTCTTTCTATCTCTAATAAGAAAGAAAAGAGGTACAAAAGGAAAAAGGTTATAAGAAAAATTTGGAACCCCCTATCATATATTACATATGCGGTTATGTAAAAATAGTGGGACCTTTAGAGTTTTGGTTTTTCAAGCTTTCAGTAACGTGACCATGTTTTTGTTTTCTGTTTTGAAAAATACACCCTTGTTAGCCACCACAATTCTAACATTCTTCCACATCACCTGGCAGAGTGACTGGAACTTTTCCTGAATAAATGAGTATGTAATAGCAACTTCTTTTCTTAAAAAGTAAGAATGATGCTTAATGATTCAAGACCTATTACTGTAAGAAATTACTTAATATATTCTAATAGTTTCTAACACAAAAGAACAGATAACAACACTCTGAATTAACATATTTCTAATCTAACGAGTACAACCCAAAGTTCTGCAAACAGGTATAACATAATGCATGGAGCTTGAAGCCCTTAGGCACCAGACTCATCACTTAGAGTCAACAAAGCCATCCAGTAAGTAGTCCCATCAGATACTTAACTTTCTATATACAAGGGCCCCACCTTATCTGCAGTTACCCACTCAACCGGGGTCTGGAAGCAGACCATCCTCCTGCTAACATGTCAGGTCAGTAGAAGCCTAATGCAGCGACACAATGCCTATGTTGTTCACCTCTCTTCATCTCATCCCGTAGGTATTTCATCATCTCACATCATCACAAGAGGAGTGAGTACAGGACAATAAGGGATTTTGGGA